AACATTTTATAACAGGTATAATAATTATTATTATCATACTCACTTATCGCTGTATTTATTGAAATGTTAAAGATGAGTTTGGTCGTCAGGTGTTAGCGATTTTATCTCCAACAAAGTACTGGCTTGTGATGTTAATAAGAAACATGCCATTTCTGAATATAGAACAAATTCATATCTCTTCATTGTGCATATTGCTTTTAATGGATTGAACTTAAAAACCAGAAACTGTAAACAAGTAAATTAGAGGATAATAATCCTTTTTTCTTTATTTGTCTAAATTTTTAAACTTCAGTTTGCCTCCCCTCTTCGGTGGTTTAGCGGCAAGCTTGAGGACTTATAATGCTAAAAATTGGAGCTCGATATAACCATTGTGTAGTTTTCCGCTTAAAACAAACTATTTGAAATGTTGTCTCTCAAATGCAAAAAAAAAAAAAAAGAGTCTTATGTTCAGTTACACATGCTAGCAAGTACAGCATTACTTTAACACATTTAGTTGATAAATTACAGTCAGAATGTAATATTTTTGTTCCATTTTTATCTTTCAATTCATATATGTTAGATTTAACTAACACCCATGATTCTGACAACAGTACTTCTCCCGAGTGTTGGGTTGCCACTTGCACTTTGATCTCGCCTCTGACTACACATTATCTGCAGTGGGCGCTCCCATATTGTATGGCATCTGATATCTGGGACATTTGATATTCATTAAATATCATTTAGCGAATAACTTAATATGAATAATAAGTATTGATAAAGAATGAGCACATATGATCATCAAAAAACATTCAATGAATTTCAAAATACCCAGAAGCTCAAACGTTTTCGAATAACCGAATATTCTTCTTTAGGAGCAAAACGTCCCTTACTTGACCATGAATAAAATTATTATCGAGATAATATTATGCCCTATGGTGGGAGAACAAGTACTAACAGGATGTTATCCAGTCGGTTTTTAATGTTAAAGAAAATGCCAAGAATTAGCTAAACGCTGCTCATATCAGAAAGAAAATAATGTCGCCTAATAAATAATAATGATATGTATCGCAGAGGAAATTAAGTTTTAGAGTGATCTACTATACAAGAATTACACTTTAATTAACAAATAATTATAAATTATTTTAACAAATAGTAACTTGCTCTTATAGTAGAGCAAGTCTTGACACAGCTTGTCATCATGGTTCTCGCTCAATACTGATTTTAATCTTGTTAGAAAGTCTTCTCTGACTACTATGTATTTGATCACAATAAGTCAGAAAGGGTATTCTTGGGTTTAGCTTAAAGACATACCAATACGCAAAAACAGTGACCTTTGATGAAGTAATCTAGTTTTAGTTCATGTTTTTAGAACAGTTCAAAGGCAGAAGTACTTTGGTTTGGACAGACAGTTACCACCAAAATACAGAGAAAAATGAAATTGGCCAGAGAGTGGGATTTATGCGACTCTCGACATAACCCTGGGCTTAAAGTTTATGAGGTTGAATTTGCATTTTTTATTTTTAACTTATTTTTATGAGTTAGCATACAGTTAATCTAGTATTTATTTGTGTGTTATGTGTTACTCAAAAGTATTCATATTTTATTGGAGAGTGCACTAGCACTCTCTATGTATATGGATGTCATGGATTCCCGCATTAAAGCAATATAAAAGTCATCTGGATCTTCTTCTCTACAGGTCATTAGAAGCTATGAAGATATGAAGAGCTACCTGACATAGTCGCTCCCTACATTACTGGCTTCCTCACTGGCAAAACAAATAGAACCAGGATTTCCAATCTTAAAATGTTACTCTAAATAGTCATAAAAGAAATATTGTTACGACTGCGGAAGTCACGCAACGCTGGGAACATGCGCGCTGGAGTTTCTCG